ACAGAAGTTGAGGAGAAAGAAAATGATGTTGAGGATTTTGAGCAACTTGCGAAGAATCTTGAAGATGCTTCTCCACTTGAAATCATGGACAAAGCTCTCGAGAAATTCGGAGACGAAATCGCAATTGCTTTTAGGTAATGTTTAATTTGTGTTAATTGATTCGATTAGAGAAAAGAGAGAACTTTGAATTTGACATTTGAAACTGGTTTTGGTTTTTTTTTTGTGTGTGTAGTGGTGCTGAAGATGTTGCATTGATCGAATACGCTCGTTTAACTGGAAAGCCATTTAGGGTTTTTAGTTTAGACACAGGGAGATTGAATCCAGAGACTTACAGGCTCTTCGACGCAGTCGAAAAGCAGTACGGGATTCGAATCGAGTATATGTTCCCTGATGCAGTTGAGGTTCAAGCTTTAGTGAGAAACAAGGGTTTGTTTTCTTTCTACGAAGATGGTCATCAAGAGTGTTGTCGTGTAAGGAAAGTAAGACCATTGCGTCGTGCTCTTAAGGGTCTTAAAGCTTGGATTACAGGACAGAGGAAAGATCAATCACCAGGAACAAGATCTGAGATTCCAATCGTTCAGGTTGATCCGGTGTTTGAAGGATTAGATGGTGGTGTTGGAAGTCTTGTAAAGTGGAATCCTTTGGCTAATGTTGAAGGAGTAGATGTGTGGAACTTCTTGAGAACGATGGATGTCCCGGTGAATGCATTGCACGCGCAAGGATATGTTTCTATTGGGTGTGAGCCGTGTACTAGGCCAGTGCTTCCGGGTCAGCACGAGAGAGAAGGAAGGTGGTGGTGGGAAGATGCTAAGGCTAAAGAATGTGGTCTTCACAAAGGGAACATCAAGGAGGAAAACGGCGCCACGGATTTAACTCCTGCGATTGTGCAGGATATATTCGAAAGCAACAATGTGGTTTCATTGAGCAGAGGAGGGATTGAGAATCTTTTGAAGCTTGATAACCGTAAAGAGCCGTGGTTAGTTGTGCTTTACGCTCCTTGGTGCCCGTTTTGTCAGGCGATGGAAGCATCATACGTCGAATTGGCTGAGAAATTGGCGGTAAAGGGGGTTAAGGTGGCGAAATTTAGAGCGGATGGTGACCAGAAAGAGTTTGCTAAGCAAGAGCTTCAATTAGGGAGCTTCCCGACCATACTTCTCTTTCCGAAAAGCGCTCCACGGGCAATTAAGTACCCGTCAGAGAATAGAGATGTCGATTCGCTTATGTCGTTTGTGAATCTTCTCCGGTGAGTTATGAGATTGGAAATGAAGATAGAATCAAGAGAATTGAGATGAAGGAGTGATTTCATCTTGGTCTTAAGATTGTCAAAAGAATAAACAAAAGCTCTCTGTTCTATATGACTTTGTATATTGTATTGTAGGGTTTATAGGCTCTTTTTGTGTCTCTTTGTCGTTAACATC